CACGGAAGCGGCGACAATTTCGTAGTTGGCAGCCTCCCACGGTGGGCAGCCTCCGGGGAGCCGCAAGGGCTGAGTGGTGATGGCGCCCACAAAAATAGGGAGGCCAGAAGGCAGGAGGCAGAAGGATGAGGAGGAGGAGGAGGAGGAGGAGGAGGAGGAGGAGGAGGAGGAGGAGGAGGAGGAGGAGGCGGGAGGAATGGAGGAAGGAAGCGCGCTCGCCCTGCCCTCTTCAGAACGAGAACCCAACATGACCCTCGCCGGGCCCCGAGACCTCGGGGCGCCGACGTTGTGCCACAGAGCATGACGTCGGGGGTCTGGGATCCCAGCGTCGCATTGCTGTTCGCCCCCGGCGATGTCTCGCCCTCTTTTCTCGGGGCAAGCGTCCCCCCGTGGCTCGGTCCGGCTCGAGAGATCCCGCCGAAAGTCTGGGTCCAGGGTCTGGTCGTGGGGCGTCGACGCCGTGGGAAAAAACACATGACGTCGGGAAATCGGGAGCAAACGGCGCACGCACGTTCTGGCATCGTTCGGAGGGCCCCAACTATACGACTAAAACGCGTACAAGGGGTCCTGGCTGGGCCCATCCTTGGCCCAGGATCGGCGCATACCCCCTGCCTTGGCCAGGATCACCGTATGCAGCGATTTCGCCCCCAAGATTGGCTGGGCCAGGATCGGTGGAGGTCGGAGTCACGTGCACACCGATGCGGCGGAAGGGCCTCTGAGAAGCGCCCAAACAACGCCTCGCACACTCACGCGCACGCGGGTGCATGCTTTTCTCGGCAGGCTGGCGCGCAATTCCAAATGGTGCCCCCACCACGTCTGACATAGTCTTGCTCCAAACTGACCTTCCCCACGACACAAGACATGCGGTGCCGCGCCGAGATCCTCCGAATTAGGCCTAAAAGGGCAGTGCCCGCTACAGGTAACAGCGCTTCTGCGAAAACAAGATGTTCACTTACGTCTGGTCTGAATTACGCTTGGCGCGTGCGAGCCTCAGACATCACCACCCAACGTCCACTCTTATGTTGGCTCCGAATGTGGCGCTAATCAATATCAACTCGCGCGACCATAACGGGAAGAAAAGAGGCAGGGCGAATGATTCGCCCTTAGCCTCGAGCTTACCTCAGCGCTGTTATAGCGCTCGCGCACATGCGCGCGCGCAGGCTGAGTTACCAGACTGCAAGTGGGCACCTCTCCCCGCGCGCATGCAAGTGCAGCCCCAGGGCACCCCCCAAGCACCGAAGCGCACGCTGGTCGAATCTACAGCCCATGTCAGGAATCAGACACGTGCTTGGTGTTTGGTGTTTAATGTTCTCTCTGAGGCATCTCGCGCTCGGGAATACCTGGCGCGAGTTGGAGTGGGTATCTTGAGATGTCCCTGTGCACGAAATGAACATACATGTTTATGTAGCGTATACTGTGTGAAACTTCGGATGTATAGTAAATTCGTACATACCCATCACAGAGTTAGGCATATCTATGTATGTAGTTCAGACGTTACCTATATACACGCAGACTTGTACACTCATAATGTGTTATGCGGATTGCCGCTCATGGTTCCTCCCATGTCCACCCGCTTCCGTCCCGGGTGTGATCGTTGTCATTCCTGTCTCTTCCGTCCTCTCTCCTTCTCTCAAATATGCAGCCAGCATTGCATTGTCCGCATTCCTTTGCGTAGCATGACTCGCGAGAAGAGCTGGCATATAATGCGTAGTAGGAACTTAATCAGGAGCTGTAGTGCCAAATGTAGAGGCTGAGCTCGGTTGGGGTAGGATCCGTATCATAACTGCACTGATAGCTGCAACTAGGACACCTGCAAAAACTGTAACACGATCCATTGTAGAATCTGTGGTAAGAGCTGCGAAAGGGGGTTGTACGACTGGCTGTACAACGAACTGTAATACAACATGCTATGAAAATTGCCGGTTAGGGGCAGTCGTACGGGCTGCGTAAGGGCGACGACCCACTCCAGTAAGATCTGTAATGGCACCTGCACCCAATGCTGTGTCAGTGAACTGCAATAATCAATCGGATATGCATTAATACTTGTAGTACGCCTTGTACCAGGAGCCGTATTGACAGCTGTACTATGAGCTGCGCGACAACATACAGTAGGAGCGGTAGAGGAGACGCATTGTGAGCTGTGTCGGGGTGTGTTTTGATGGCCGCTCATGGACTCGCAACAGGAGTGTTACTCGGCGCAGCGTGGGAACTGCACCCCTGATGGCAGTGGGGATTGCCAGCAGAGCTGCACGAATATGCCACCGGCGATATTACTTGCAACAGGAACTGCAGCACAAATTGCATCGCGAACTGCACTGCGAGTGGCTGCAGCAGGAACTGTTGTAGGAGTTGGAAAAAAGGGGCATGTTTAGGAATTGCTGTCGGGGCTGCAATGGGAGAAGTAACTGGAGCATATGTGAGGATATGTACGGCTGGCTGTACTAGGAGCTGTACTACGACGTGTTGAACGAGCTGTAGGACGGGGGCGTAGTACGAGCTGTAGCGGGCCGGTGAATTGTAGTGGGGACTGCTCATGTGGCTGTGCCAAGTAAATCCGATAGTACCTGCAGTGATACACTCAGTGCGCATTGTATTAATGAAAGTGGTGGGAACTGGACTTCTGGACCCTTGGGAAAAACATTCGGAACTATAGTGGTAGACGCGTTTGAAACTGTGCTCAGATCTGTGCTACTGGTTGTAGATGCGATGTGGATCAACGTTTGAACAGGGACAGTGTAGACAGCTGACCTACTGGCTGGAGTGGGACTTACAATCGGAGCTGCGCAGGGGTGTGCCATCGCATGCGTGACATGGTCTGTAGCAGTAGCTGCAACACAAGTTGCACTGGGAACTGTGACGTTACCAGCTGTAACTAAAACTGTATTAGGACATGTAAAAGGAGCCGTTGTAGGAATCGCGGTCGGAGATGTAGTGGGAAGTTCAATCGGAAGGAATGTGAGCACGGCTGGGTGTAGTAGGAATTGTCGCATGACCTGTTACTCGAGCTGTAGTGAAGAGGGGCCGTCGTGCTGTAGCGGGGTGGTGGTGGGTTGAAAAAAAGGGTTGTCCTATTGGTTGTGCCAACGCTATATGCATGCTTTGCGCATTGAAGTATGACCGATCGTGACAGCTGTACCAATGGATGCGTTCAAAGGTACAACAGGGTATGCAGGTGGGCGCAGTAGAGGCTGTTCTGGGAGATGCACGTGCGGTTGCACTTGGAACGCAGGTGACTGTACTAACAATAGCGGCACGGAAAGCTGCACGACTGCCTGCGCTTCACCGCGGCAGAAATCTCGTCTGATATGCAATGACCCGAAATCACAGGAGTGTAAACATCGGTAATGCCTTTGGACACTCGCTTCGCATGTTGGAAATAATAGGGCCGGTGGACCAGGATCTGGGACAGGCTGAAATACTACCTTTGCATGAAAAACCAGTGCGGGCAACTTCCGACCCGTATCTAACTCATACCGCCAGAAAGCACCAGGGCCCCGTGGGCCTAATTATACTCTCAATGGGGGCGGAAGGCGACAAAGCTCTCACCGTTCTGATTCTGGAGACCAATAGGGATCTGTGCCATTCGCGCCCGCCAACGGCACCTCAAAATGTCAAAAGGAATTGCGTCGCGTAGTTGTGCAAATTACAATCGTCCCCCCCCGGAACGACCCTCGCGATCCCAACATGATTGCGACCGCGACAAGACCAGCGCGGCTTTCGGGCAAGGCGCGGCCGGCGCGCGGGCGCGGGCGCGGCGCATTTCCCCGGATATCGCCTGGATCGCTAAGGGGGCTTCAGCAGCGCACGGTTGCCTGGGAGGTCGCTTCGGCGCCAATCGAAGACCCCCGCGGGAGCTTGCCTGGCGCCGCAGCGTGTTCCAGGCGGCATTTGTAAAATAATTCCCGTTGCGTGCCACCTGCTGCCTTCTCCACCCCGCCCCCCATTCGCGCGCCCCTTTCCTCCTCCTCCTCCTCCTCATCCCTATCCTCCTTGTTTTCCTCGTCCTTGCCCTTTTTCGCCTCCTCCTTGTCGTCATGATTGTCCACGTCCTCCTCCTTCCCCCTGCCCTGCGCTGCCACCCGCCCTGCTCGCGTCGCCCTGCCGCTCGCCCTTCCGCTTGTGCCCCTACTTTTCTCCTGCTCACCCTATCCCGCTGCTCCTTCAATCGACCCGCGTGCTTTTGGGATCGCTTCGCCCTTGCCGTTGCCGCTGCTGGTTATCGCCCCCCTCCTCCATCCTCCCCTTCCTCCTCCAGCTAAGTCTCCGCGCTCCACCTCTCTACCCGCCCTGCTTGCCCTGGGCGCGCCACCGGCGCCCCCCGCCGCCGCCCCCGCTTCTCGCGCGAGCGCCCCCCTAGCGATCGGGGGCGACCTTTGCAACATTAATGCGCGCGGCGCTGGGGTGCAACACCTTCGCGCCCAAATCCCATCGCAGCGCAAGGGCGGGGGGCGGGGGGGGGGCGGGGGGGCCGAACTGGGTGAGGTAATTTGCGTTGCACTGTGACCTCGGGCAACTGGATCAAGCGCTTGAAACAGCGCTCCGCGTCTCGCCACCCCGGCGGCATCAGCGCTTCCTTGAACATATTCCAGTCGCCCTTGATCTGGCAAAGAACACCCCGAGAAAGAGTCACCTTCTCTCGCTGTGCTGCTTGACCCTCCACTGGTCGCTCTTCCCGAATGGCGGGCCATC